TCGGGGGGGGGGGTGATAGACGGAAGGGAGACCCGGAGGAAGGAACAGGCGAAACGACGAGGAGGAGGAGGAGGAGAAGGAGGAGGGAAGAAGGGCGGGAGTGGGAGTGGGAGTGAGGAGGTGTTGAGGGGCGTACCTGGCAGAGGCCGAGTTGTGCTTGACGGTGAGCTGTGTGAGGTGCGAGTACTGGATGAAGAGGGTGATGGACATGATGGGGTCGGTGCCCACGTAGACGGTCTTCCCGTTGAGGTACTGCGACGCCGTCTGCGCGGAGGCGGGGCTCGAAAACTGCACCAGCGTCTGCAGGCGCGAGTCTCGCCTGGACTCCTCTGTTTGCGATAGATAGGGGGGGGGAAGGGGGCGTCCATGATGCAACAGGTGAGGAGGGCGAAACACATTACTTGAAAATAAAATAAAATAAGGGAGGGCGGGAAGGAGGGAGAGAGGGCGCACCGGCGTACTCCTGGGACTGCCGGTTCATGACGACGATCTTCTCGATGAAGCCGTAGGAGGAGAAGATCTGCCACACAATGTCGGCGGTGATCGGGATGACGGGCTCCTGCTCGGTCTGGAGCGTGACCAGCAGGATGCGGTTGGGTCCCGCGGCCGACGCGGTGAGCTGCTGATGGCGCGAGAAGCGCATGTAGACCTTGCGCCCGCGGATGTTGGGCTGGGTGCTGGCGGCAGGAAGAAAGAAAGAAAGAAAGACGAGGAGGAGGAGGAGGAGGAGGCGCGAGCGTCAGTTGGAAGTTTCCCGCAGCCCAGTTTGTTGTTTGCAACTGTTTCAATGGCTGTTGCAGATAAATAAATAAATAAAGTACATAGAAATCGCACAGAGCATGGAGGAGGGTTACCTGAGGTAAAAGTTGCTCATGGAAATGGCCGCCGCTATGTCAGCGAACTCGAGGAGGGCCTGGTTCTTGGACGTCAGCATCACCACCTTCTCCACCGTGCCGAAGGGCGCCGCCAACTCCATGATGTCCTCCTGCGCGCCGTTCGCCATCCAACACAAGACCACTGCAATTAGGCACCGCGATGACACGACGCGACACGACGCAGCTGGACGCGGGGGAGAGTTGGGGGGGGGGGAGACACACCTGAGTGAGCTCGGAGGTGACATTCCTGAAGTGGAGCACCTTCGAGGGAGGATCGGGCGAGTGGCTGTCGGGAATGGGGGCCGACGGAACGGCAGGAGCAGCAGCGGCCGGTGGTGCGGCGGCAGCTGACCCAGCGGCAGCAGCGGCCGCATAGCCGCTGGCACCGTACCCGCCATAGGCCATCGATGGGTCGTAGTGGCCGGCATAGGCGGCGTAGGCCTGCGGGTCGTAGCCACCCGTTGAATAGTCAACGGCAGCCGAGGCCGACCCATAGCCCGAGTAGTCACCCTGTCCTGCGTAGCCCTGCTGCTGCTGCTGCTCGCCAGCGGCGTGGCCACTGTCATCCGAGGCCGCAGGTGCGGCCTCAGTTGCAGCCTCAGTTGCAGCGGCATCGCTGGCCACCTCGGTAGGGGTCGACGCATCCTCTGCAGCGGTTCATACGTTTAGACGGTTCCATCACACAAATTAAGGCGGAAGAACGGTTCATGCAGGGGTTTACCAGCATCTTTTTCTGTTCGGCTTCGCTTTGCTTGAGGGGCTGTGGATTCTTCGGCTTCTTCATGATGAGCGGTAGAGGCGGGTCGCTCATCCTCTTGGGCAGCGCTTTCGCCAGTCGGGGTCTGTTCAACCTCAGGCTGGGCTGCCTCAGTTTCGTCGTGTGCACGCTTGGTTCCTGATGCTTGCATAAGGATGTTTGTTGGCCTGATCTGATTCTATATCAATAGCGGCAATCCTGATGCACGGCAAATGCGCGGGTTGCTGCCGGTTTTTTTCTGCCTCGCGAAAAACAGTTTCGGAAGAATTCGACGCTCGCACATTGCCCAAATGCCAGAACCCCTTGCGGACCTGGAACAGTAAGAGAGCATCAAGAAGAAGTTGCTCCTCGACTTGCATCTCGCGCTCCCACCCACCCTCTTCTCTGCTGCTGCTGCCGTGGCACCTACTAAGTCGCAGTCTGCTCTGCACGAGTCGGGCTTTGAGCGCGAGCAGGTATTCCCCCCCCCAGTATTGTAATCTCCGCTTCTTGCTGCAAAGGGAGCACAGCAGCTTCTCTTCCCTGCGGCCTGCAACTCACGCGCCCTTCTTCCTTGGCCTCGCGTACGTGGCCCGTGTGCTGCTGCTGCTGCTGCACGAAGAGCAGAGAAGCATGTTCAACTTCCTGAGCGGCCTCTTTTCCAAGGACGAGCAGCAGCTCAGCGCCAAGGCCAAGCGGCCGCCGCACCAGTGCGCACGCCTTGCTTTCTTCTCCCGTCCTCACTTCTTCGTGGGTGGTGTGCGCAGTGGGTCTGCCTACTCACCCGTGGTCTTGCTTTGCACTTCATCGCTGGTGCTTCGTGTGTGTCGTGTGTGTGTGGTGACGCGCAGTGCGTTGCCTCGACCCCTCGCCAGCAATCGCAATCCGGGCTTGCACAGCGGCGCTGGGCCGCCTGGCATCGATGTCGACGTCGAGGAGGGCGTGCCCAACGTTGAACTCAAAATCGTGGTGCGCGCGCTTAACGCAACCTCTCCCACGCCACCACCGGCCCAGCTCCCATCGCTGGGCCGAAACCACCAGGCATGCAAGCCTATGCGTGTGCATGTGTATGTTTGCCTCTCCCTCTCACGTGCGTGCGTGCGTGCGTGCATGCGCCGGCGGTGGCGGGTCTTTCTCGCGCCATGCGTGGTGGTCGTGCGGGGAGGGGGGCAGATGGTGGGGGGCAGGGGCGTGGGCAAGACGTCCATCATCCGGCGCTACACGCAGGACCTCTTCTCCAAGACCTACGTCCCGACCATCGGTGCGCACCCAGCAGCGGCGGCGGCGGCGGCTAGTCGTGTCGTGTGGTGGCGGCGGTGGTGGCTGGTGGGCACGTCTTCACATCAGCGGCTGTGGGGGGGGGTGACTCATTGGTTGGCGTGTGCGAGAGCTCACACACCACCCCGCCATCCATGCCGGCGTATATATGTTTCTATATACGCAAAGGAGTGGACCTGCTGTCGGTGGAGATCGAGCAGTCCCTGTACCGGGACCTGGGACCCGTGGTGCTCCTCCACTTCTACGACGTGGCCCACGCCGAGGTCGTGACCCAACATTGCTTGCAAGCCCCCTCCCCTCCTTCCCACCATCTCTGCTTCTGCTGTTGATGGGGGGGAGCTGACAGGAGCGGGCGGGCGGGCGGGCGGGCGGGCGCAGGTGGGCGGGGCCAACCTGCGTCGCCTGTTCGAGGAGGCGTCGGGCGTGGTGACGGTGTTCGACTGCTCCAAGCCGGCGAGGGACAACGCCCAGTCCCTGTCCGCCCTCGACGAGTGGTACAACGCCATGGCCGACCACCTGCCCCCCCGAGGAGGAGGAGGAGCAGCAGCAGCAGGAGGAGGGCCTCCCCGCGATGATCCTCCTGGGCAACAAGTGCGACTCGGGCTCGTCCGCCATCAGCCCCCAGAGCCTCGATGTGGTACGTACGCCCGCCCGTCACCATATGCCGAGGGCCTGTTGAACGAGTCCCCTCGCACCTGACGCTGCTGCTGCTGCTGCTGCTGCTGCTGAGTGGGGGCGGGGGGCGGCAACAACGTAGTATGCGCAGCGGTGCGGCTACCGGCGATGGCGGTTGATCAGCGCCAAGAACGGTACGCGCGCTCCGCCTACCCGCCTGCTCGCCATCTGCCGTACCACGCGTCGTTGGTCGTTGGTCGCGTCGCGTCGCGTCGTGGTCTACGTGATACGTAATGAGGATGTCACACACACACATATATATATAATACATGCAGGGGCTTCGGTGCATGAGGCCATCGATGCGCTGGTGCGCGACCTCCTCAGGGGGATCCACCAGAGAGAGCAGGAGAGCAGGAACCGGGCGGCGAGCAAGCTCGTCGTCCCGGCCGGGAGGAAGACGTGTGAGGTCGACCGGGAGGCCGACTGCGCCTCCGATTCCGGCAGCGGCGCGCGGAGCCGAGAGTCGACCGCGGCCATTTCGCGCGAAAATACCGTCATCGTCACCACCCTCGCCACGACCACCCCTCCTGCTCGCACTTACGTCGGCGGCGGCAATGACGAGCCCAAGGCATCAATGACCACGCCCGCTAGGCAGACTGCACAAGACCACGCGGCTGTGATGCCTGCCGCCGCTGTCGATGACGTCCCAGAGGGGGCCGCGAAGGAAGCGGAGGCCAAGCAACAGCGCGACGACCAGGTCAGGAAGAGCAGGATTGTCAAATACGAGCGCAAAATCGCCCAGATTCGAGTGCGTGCACCCACCCACCCCACCCACCCACCACACACGGCGCACACGGCGCACACGACGAACCTTTCGGTGTTGTTGCCGCTACCTCCCACCTGACGAGTTGTTGTTTGGTGGCGTGTGTGTGTGTGTGCAGGAGCTGGTGGAAGAGTTCTATCGGCAACTGCACGGTGACCTGCTGCAGCTCCGAGACCTCTGGTACACACCCATACCCCCCCCCAATATCCCTCAGATCCCGCCTCGAGCCCCTTGAGAGGCGGCCGCCTGATCGCTGCTGTCGTCCTCGTCGTGGTGGCGGTGGTGCTTCGTCGTTGGTTGGGCTGGGGGGGGGACAGGCCGCGCGGGGACAAGCGAAGCGGAGACATGGAGCGGCTGTACGAGCAGGCCCGCAGCGAACACGCCGACCTCGTCCGACGCCTCCGCGCTCTCCCGTATGCTGCTCCCCCCCCCCCGCCAGCAGCTCCGCTCCCGCTCCTCCCAAATCAGTGCGCAAGCAGCGGGAGCAGCGCTACCCCCCCCGTGCAAAGAGGAGGGGCCACCGGAGGGGGGGGGTTTGGAGCCAACCGCAAGCGTGTATCGTGGTGTGTCGTGCTGTGTTGACGTCAAATTGTGTCGGTTGCCGTGTCGTCGGCCGTGTGGGCGGGGTGAACACAGGGCGACGTCGGAGGTGGCGGCCAACGCGTCGGCGCAGCTGTGCGCCTCGGCCGACCTGAAGAAGATCCACATCGCGGCATCGGAGCAGGTGACCAAGTGGCAGAAGCTCATGCACCACCTGGACACGGAGATCGCCCTCTCCTCGCGCCTCACCCTCCGGCGCTCCCTCGCCACCCACCTCACTGCCTCGACCCCCTCCCTCCTTTCCTCGCCCCTCCTCTCCTTCTCGGCCACCACCTCCACCTCCACCTCCGCCGCCACCTCCTACTCGGCCTCCTCATCGCCTCCACCTCCTTCGTCCTCCACACGCCGGTCACAGTCCAGCGAGCCACCGATGGGCTGCCCGCCTACGGCCCTGCCCGCCTACGCCACCACTTCGTCGTCGTCCATGTCGTCATCGTCGTCGCTTTCCGGGTCGGGGGGCCGGGTGGTGCCGGCCTACTCGTCGTTTCCGTCGTCGTCGTCCACGTCGCCCTACTCGTCCCCGCCCTCCTACATCGACACGCTCGCGCCGCACCACCAGTACCCGCGACAGCACCCGCTCCTGTCCTCCTCCCTGACCTCGTCCTCCTACTCCTCGTTCTCCTCGCCCTCCTACTCCTCCTCCTCCTCCTCGTCGTCGTCGTCGTCGTCTACGTCTACGCACTACTACCGCAACACGCCGCTCTCGTCGTCGTCCTCGCAGCTCTCCCTGCGCCACTTCTCCACAACCTACATGAGCGGCGAGGTGGCCGATGAGGACAAGATCAGCGCCAAGCTCTCCTCCCTCGCCTCGTACCCCTACCCTTACCCCCCTCCCAGTCGCCTATGCTGCTGCTCGCTTCGGCTGCTGCTGCTGCTGCTCGCTTCTGGCCGGTCCTTGGTCAGCTGCTGATACTGGTGAGCCCCCCAAACCATCGGTGGCGGTGGCTGGTGGTGCGCCATGGTGGCAGGTTCGAGGCGCGGCCACGTTCGTCGCGGCGGCGGCGAAAAGGCTTCGGGTTCCGCAACGCCGGCAAAAGCGTACCTCTCTCTCTCTCTTTGTGGCTTTTTATTTTGTAGGAATGGCATCCCCCTCCCCCAAAAGCGACTCACGTGTGTTTCCTCCTCCTCCTCCTCCTCGTTGTTGTTGTTGTTGTTGTTGGTGCCCGCCACCGCCACCGCGCGTATGTTTAGCAGGAGTTCGATGGGTGTTCGTCGGGAGAGGTTACGCCGCTGTCGTCCCTCACGGCGTCGTTCAACTCGTCTCCCCTCTCGTCCCAGGCGGTGTCCGACGACGAGGGCGACTCCAACAACAACAACAACAACAACAACAACAACAACACAACAACAACAACAACAACAACAACAACGACGACGACGACGACGACGGGTTCCTCATGGGCGGGGCGGCCGACGACCTGGCCAGCAGCGGCGAGACCACGCGTGTGAGCAACAGCAGCAGCCGGAAGGACAAGGTGGCCACCGCCCCGCACCAGGTGGCGCACACGCAGGGAGGACCGGACAAGACCAGGCGCGACGATCTCGCCGCGTCCGGTGCATCCCGCACCCCCTGCTCGTCGCCTGCCCCACGCCGGTACCAGCGCCCACCACCCACGTAGCATTTATCTCTCACTCGTCACTCACGCGTCGCTTTTCTTGTTGTTGTTCTTGTTGTTGTTGTTGTTGTTCTCGTTCTTCTCTTCTTCTTCTTCTTCTCGCAGGGCAGTGTCGTCGTCCTCGCTCCTGGACCTGTCACCCTCCGTAGGGATGGGCTGAGCGCGCACCACCGCGTGGCAAAATTTTGCTCGACAGCAGCGTTGTCACCAATATTTATTTGCGGGGTGGGGTTTGATCTCCACTCCGCATACCTACTATTTATATTGTTTGTTTGTTATTCGTTGTTTGCTCTCACAGCTCGACGGATGGCTTGCTCTTGAACTTGCGGGCGGAGCGGTCGCTGGAGCGATAGGTGAAGTTGTTGCCGTAGAGGGTCACCACTTGGCTCGACACCACAAACGTGAAGACGTTGTTGGCCTTCGGCACAACAGCACACACGTAGCCGCGATATTGAACGCACGCGAAGAAAAGGAGCGTGAGCACCACGCTTTACAAGTGTGTGGTGTGTGCGGTTGTGCGTGTAAAAGTGAAAATGGGCGCAGGGACCACCTCGCAGCTGGTTCTGTGGCGTGAGAGCAAAGAAGTGGTTGGACCCACCAGACTTCTGGTGGGGGGGGGGTCGATCAACAGGTAAGGCTCAGCCCTGACACCCGCGACACAACAACAACAACAGCAATAACCACACGTGTGTCCGATAAGCGGGGATTGCCGAAAAGCTCACAGCGGGAACGAACGTGGTTGGCTGAGCGACCGCCGTCTCCCCTTTCTTTCGCCTGCTTCCCCGTTACTTTTCGAGGCGGGGGGGGGCGGGAGCCACGCTCCACGAGCACAAACTTCTCAAGCAAGCAAAGTGAACCCACCACCAGCAAGCCCTGAAGTCGTAGGAAGGGTAGTAGCAGAAGAGGTGCGCCTGCCGTGTGGCCTCGAGAGGCCGCGCGTGTCACTCACACACATGAAAATGGGGTTGCCCGCGTAGCAGATGGAAGGGACAGCAGCAGCTGTGCAAGACAAGTACGAGTACCTGCCAGGCTTCGGCAACCACTTCTGCTCAGAGGCGGTCAAGGGCACTCTCCCCAAGGTTCGTTCGTCTCCTACGCGCGGTGTTCCTGGTGTCGCCACCAGGAATTAGATTGTGGATTGGGGGGGGGTTGTTGGTCGCTGAGGGTGGCTGTGCTGCGGTGCGCATCCAGGGCCAAAACACGCCGCAGCAGTGCCCCAAGGGGCTCTATGCCGAGCAGCTTTCCGGCACCGCCTTCACCATGCCCCGCAAACGCAACCAAAGGAGGTGTGTCCCCTGCCCCTCCCACTCAATTCCCCAGCGCAGGTGTTTTTCGCTGCCTGTCGGTACCGGGACGGGAACAGAGGGGGCACGTGCTAACCGTGCGTGTCTCTGCGGCGGTGGCTGTGCTGTGATTGGTATCAAAAGCTGGCTCTATCGCATCCGCCCGTCGGTGGGCCACAATCCGTTCAAGAAGCTGGCCCACAAGTACATGCAGAACAACTTTGCCGACCTCTCCTTCGACCCCAACCAGCTGAGGTGGAAGCCCTTCCCCTTCCCGGCCGACGGTAGCCCACCCTTTTGCCTGCCCGCTTCCGTCACTCCTCCCCGAGGCCATCGCGCTGCGATGCCTGTGGACGCCTGCGGGCACTCTCCACTCTCCACCCTCCACCACTCACCCCATCCCTCTTCATCATATGTGCGCAGACGAGAAGGTGGACTTTGTGATGGGCCTACGCACGCTCGCTGGGGCGGGCCACCCGTCCACGAGGACCGGCATGGGCATTTACATCTACACGGCCAATGCCGACATGCTCGACACCGCTTTCTACAACAGCGACGGCGATTTTCTCATCGGTACAGGCCGCCACCTCTCCTGAGCACTCTTGCTCACGCCAATGAGCTGGCACCCGGATGATGATGATGACGACGACGACGACGACGACGCCATTCTCTTTTCTCGGCTTGCTCTGCCGCGTGGCCTGACTGGTTCCCTCGACAACCAGTGCCGCAGCAGGGTACGCTGGACATCCAGACTGAATTCGGATACCTCGAAGTCAAGTCGGGCGAGATCGCGGTCATCCAGAGGGTACCTACCCTGCCGCACATGGGGCACCGAGCAGTGGGTGGATCGATTCCATTCAGTGTCGACTTATCTGGCTTCGCGCGGCGATCGTGTGTGGTGTGTGTGTGTGTAGGGCATCAGGTTCCGCGTGGCGTTGCCGGACGGGCCTTCGCGTGGCTACATCGCCGAGGTCTTTGATGGACACTTTGAGATCCCCGACCTCGGCCCCATCGGTGATTCCTTGCTTCCCCGCCATTGCCCCTTCCCGCGCTGGCCCACTCACACACTGGCATACGCCGACACGCGCGCACTGCAGGCGCCAACGGCTTGGCCAACCCCCGGGACTTCCTTACCCCCGTGGCCGCCTACGAGGACAAGGACGATTGCGAGTACACCATCGTCAACAAATTCAATGGCGCCCTTTGGACCTGCACCCAGGTGAGCGCCCTTTTCATCAGCCACTTGGCAGGCTTGCCGTGTGTTTGCCCGCGTTAGCACGCACGCACGCACGCACCACCTGCATGACACACCTCCCACCCTTCAGACTCGCTCCCCGTTCGATGTGGTGGCATGGCATGGCAACTACGCCCCGTACAAATACGATCTGGCCCTCTTCAACGCCATAAACACCGTCACGTTCGACCACATCGTACGCATTCCCAACGCGCACGCCCTTGCACGCCTGGGTAGCCAACAGGGCAGCCCGATTGAGACGGGTGAGGGAAGTGAGGCTGACATGCCTCGGTTTTCCCGCGCCGCAGGATCCGTCCATCTTCACGGTGTTGACCTGCCAGACCAACACGCCGGGCGTGGCGGCGTGCGACTTTGTGATCTTCCCGCCGCGTTGGGCCGTCGCGGAGAACACCTTCAGGCCGCCCTACTACCACCGCAACTGCATGTCCGAGTTCATGGGCCTCATCAGGTACACAGACCGGGGGGCAACCCGGGACACTGCGGACCCTGCGCGTCTTTCCTTTTGCCCCGCTGCTGCTGACGAGATCCATGGGCGGCACGTTGTGGGGGGGGGCAGGGGCATGTACGAGGCCAAGCAAGAGGGCTTCCTTCCGGGCGGTGCTTCTCTACACAGCTGCATGAGCGCTCACGGCCCCGACAGGACCACATTTGAGAAAGCTTCCACGTACGTGCGCACGCCTCTTTCCTCCCCTGCCCTTTGCTTTGCTTTGCTTGAGCAGCTGCGTAGGCCCCCACTAGAGAAATTCTCACGCGCGTTCCCCTGCGCGGTACCGGTTGCGCGTGTCGTGCGCCTGCTGACGTTCTGTTCACGGATGGTACGACCCAGGGAGGAGCTGAAGCCGGTGCGCATTCCTGACACGACGTTGGCCTTCATGTTCGAGTCAACCTATCTCTTCTCCCTCACCGAGTTCGCCGAAGTTGCCGATAACCTGGACCAGAACTACTACAAGTGCTGGCAGCCGCTCGACAAGCACTTTGCCCCCGACCAGTCGTAGTTGGGCCGGCTTGGTGGTGTGCGCCAAATAAAAAAGAGCCGTTGTGGGCAACGGACGGATTTTTTTTTGGGAGCGGCCGAAATGTTTACTCTAAATCCGAAAAAAGAGGAGGAACCTCTTCCATTCGCGAAGCATTAGGCATTTTGGGGCGACCACGTTCGTGGTATTGTTGTGGTATATATACCCTACCCTCACCCCCCTTAAGAGGGTGCCCACTGTTCCGGCGTGTGTTCATGGAAGCCCAAGGTATGGAGGCCGCATCGACCCTCCCCCCACCCCCGCCCATCGTTTCCCTTCCACCTCTTCTCTCGATAGCGAGTATGGATTCAGCAGCCGCTTCTCCTACTTCAACCATCGTGGACTCAGCCTCCACTCCTGGCCGAAGGAAAAAAATCAAACCCTTCGCCTCTTCTCCACTCGCCGCCGACACCAATTCGCACCTTGAAGATGGTGGGGCCTCTACTTCGCTCTCTTCTTCGTCGGCGCCTACTAGTATGGCACTGCTGTCGCCTCCGCCGCACAAGCACGCTGATGTGGGGAATCCCTCGTCGCCCCCGCAGAGCAAGAAAAAGCGGCGCTCGCCGTACAAGTGCCACAAGTGCGGGAAGCCCAAGAAGGGCCACATCTGCACTGCCGTGGACCCGTCGAGCCTCGCCCTCTTCAAGGAGCGCGAGGCACGCCCTCCCCAGCCGGCCTACCCGCACCACCAGCACCACCCGCAGGACTCGCCCCCCTCGGCCGGCAGCCTCTCCCTGGCCTCCCTCGCCGCCACGTCGTCCGCCCTCTCGCCCTCCTACGCCGGCGTGTCCTCCTCCTCCTCGGCATCGTCGCCCTACTCCTCCTCCCTGTCCTCCTCCCTGTCCTCTTCCTCCTCCTCGTCGTCGGTTTCTCACCATCATCACCACCACCACCTCGCGCTGCCCACGCCGTCGGACGACTGGACGATGCGCGTCGTGGAAGGTGACGAAGCCGACATGGAGGCGGCCAACGGTGGCCAAGGACTGCGCAGGCGGCGGAAGTCAGGCGCGAGCGGGACGACGACGACGAAAAAGAGGAAGAAGAAGCGGGGAGGAGGAGGACAGCGCCGACGAGGCAGCCGGAGCAGCCGGGGAGCCAACAGCGGCGAGGGGCTTCCGGGGGACCACACCGATGACTACGAAGAAGACGAAGCGGAGATAGACGAGGACGACGACGAGGACGGCGGGGACCAGGACGGCGAGGACGACGAGGACGACGACGAGGTGGAGGAGGGGGACCTTCTGGCGGCGGGTGAGGAGGTGATGGGGGCGGGCGTGTCGCGGCGCAACCTGGTTCCGTTCCTGGGCGACATGGCGGCCCTCTACAACACGTCCTCGGACAACCTCTTCCCCACCGATGCCCTCTCCCGCTACGAGCTCAGCGGGTCCAACCCCATGGAAGCCGCCGCCTACGGCTCTGGCTCGTCGTGGGCCAACTGGGGCGCCCTTGGCGAGACTCCCGCGGGTCCGTGTGCGTGCGTGCGTGCGTGCGTGCGTGCTCTCTAATCCTCCCACAGCGCCACGCGACCAGCTGGTGCACTCAGATGCTGGCTGGCTGGTGGGAGGGCGTTGGGACTCAGCTGACACCTCGTTGTTATGTGTCGCACTCGTTGGTACCCACAGCAGAGGAGGACTTTGACATCTCGCTGTTCGGGTACATCGACGAGCGGCCGCCCGAGAAGGTGTCGGGCGTGGGCATCACCCTCGACCAGAAGAAGGTACACCCTGCGTTCTCTCTCTCTCTCTCTCTCGCGTCGGAATACTAGTCCATATCAGCAGCAGCAGCATCAGCAGCAGAAGTACTAATATGCTCCATCGCATGGTCCACCAGGTGCCCTTCTTCGTTTCCTGGTTCGAGATGGCTGCGTCGGGCCTCGACATGCTGGAGACCTTTCTCAAGGTACGCCCGACACGACACCACCGCATAGCGTGCGCTTTTCGCGCGCTTGTCCTGGATTTTGCCGATGGGGTGGGTGGGTGGGGGGTAACTGACGATGGCTCGGGGGTGCTCCTCCGCAGACGCAACGGCCGGCGTGGCGAGCGCTACCGGGGGTGCTTGAAGACCTCCACGAGCAGAAGAGGAAGCTCAACGCCTGGAAGGACAACTTTGGCAAGGAGGTGATCGGCAAGGCTCTGCACGAGCAGCAGCAGCAAGCCGACAGCAGCTCGGCAGCAGCTTCCACACGGTACGCGGCTTCGTGGCCACCGGGTGTGTTCAGCGCGTGGCTTCAGGCTTGGGGTGTAGCGGCGGGTGGGTAGGGTTGGGGGTCACGTGCTGTTCGCGAGGTACTCTTGAGTCGGCATGACGCGGTGTATAACGTCCACCACTTCCTCCTCCTCCTCCTCCTCCTCCTCCTCCGGCACACAGAGATGCGGAGGTGATGGCGATGATGCTCGTCGATCAGCAGCAGCAGCAGCAGCACCAGCAGCACGGAACCCAGCGGGGTACGACGACCGCCAAGCGGAGAACGCCGGATGCCGACGACCAGGTCGCCCGTCAGGAGGAAGAGGAGCGCGAGCCCATCGCACCCCCCAAACGACGAAAAAACGAAGCGGCAGCGGCAGCAGCAGCAGACCCGCTAGGCTCATCATCACACCTTGCCGCCGCCGCCGCGCACCAGCCATGACCTCCCCCCTTTGTTAGTACGAAGAAGACTGGCCCCATCACCAATAATTTTTTTGCACGGAGTTCTCCCCATTTAACTCTCTCCTCTCTCATCTCCGTCCCTCCTGGCACTTGCAGCTGCTCGCGGCGGCCATGGTAGCCTGCTCTTGGGGTACTCAAAGTCCCCCGTCCGCTCCGTCACTGCCCCCCCAAACATAATAATAACTGGGCGTGCCAGATGCACTGTTGGCCTACAGCACGGTGAAGATAGTGCGCATACAGGACAGGCGGGTGGGGTTGGTGCACTATGCGTTTCTGCTGGGGATAGTGGGCTACATCGTGGGCTTCACCATTCTCTTCCAGCAGCGCTACCTGCTCCTGCAACGCCCCGTGGGTGCTGTCCGCGTTTCCCTTCAAAGCGTACCGCCCCCCTTTATTGTTTTTTTTTTGTTGTTATTATGGAGCGTCGTAGTAGTTGAAGGGAGACACGGGTGGCACCACCACCACCCCGCCGTTGCTGCTGCTGCTGCTGTTGCTGCTGCTGACTGACCCCCTCGTGTGCCGTATGGCGTGGACAGCCGCAAACGCGAGGGCAGGTGCCGATGGCACCCACGGCGCTGCCCTACTGCCTGCAGGCGCAGAACGAAACGCACGGCTTCCCCAATCGGGAGTGCCTCTACTGGGACGAAAACCTGGTCCTGTGCGGCATCCCCTCCTCCTCATTCCCTCCTCCTCCGCCTCCTCCCTACCGGGCGGCTGCCCCTCGTGAGGGGAAATGAGAGCTCACCCACCTTACTCCTCGTTGGGCGGCGGGTGTGGTGGTGGTGGTGGTGGTGGTGGTGGGGGGGGCACCAGCTATCCACAAGTGGAGGCTACAGCGATGGTGCGTTGCACCTCTCTTCTTCGAACGATCGTTCGTCGGGTGCCGCGGCTACTGGTGCAGGACGCACGAGCATGACCACTTCCCCATCGCCCCAGTTTGTGAGCACGCGTGTGACGCAGACGAATCAAGTGCTGCCCAACTGCAGCCTGGAGAAGCCCACATGCACCTACGTCGACGTCAACTCAACCGAACACTTCGTGGCCGACATCGGCAACTTCACCGTAGCCCTCCCGCCCCCCTCTCTGCTCTTCTCTGCTCCCGGGGACTCCTGACGAGCACGCACGCGACTCATGGTATCATCCGTGTGTGGGCACCCATCGGTTTGGCGGCGGCGGCGGGGGTGCAGGTGATGGTGGACCACTCCATCTACGCTCCTAAGGTGGGCGTGCTGGCCAATTCGCGAGAGCTTCCGGGTGGCTTGCTCGATGTCGATGGCCACACGGTACGGCACTCACGCGTGCTGCTGCTGCTTGCACTTATCCTCCTGGCGCCGGCCCTCCGCGGAGGGCGCTCCTCCTCCTACCACGACCACCACGACCACGACCACCAGCCACCACCACCACCAGCCACCACCACGACCACCACCACGATGCCTTATGAGGCAGGATGCCTTGGGTGCATTACCCTTTTGAGGGCTCACGGCCGCTCCACACGTGCGTGGTGGCTGGTGGCAGGTGCGCGACCATGCAGAGGGCGACAGTGTGGGGGTGCGCGGTAAGGCAGACGTGTTACACGTGCGCACCCTCCTCCAGGCCGCCGGCATAGACTCCCTCGACACGCCGTGTAAGTCCCCTCCTCCTCCTCCTCCTCCAATTAATTGCAGCTGTGCTCGAGGCCCCTTCCGCTCCCGTCCCCCCCTCCCTAAATCTATGGTCCTGGTGGTTGCGGCGCAGCTTCTTCGAACCGGTCGCGCAGCCTGCGGGATGACGGGCTCGTGGTGCTGGTGTTCATCACCTACAGCAACACGCACACCTACAGCACGGGCAGCATCCGCTACCAGTATTCTCTTCGCATGGTGGAGAATACCAAGTTCAAAGCCGTGCAGCCCATCTACACCAAGAACATCGAGAATCGAGGTGCGCCAGCCACCTTGTCAGTGCGTTGCTTGGTGCTGCCGCCCTTTCTGCTCGCACACGACGCACATATGGCACACACGACACTCAACCGGTGAGAGTCGGTCTCACTGACGTTCCCTTCTCCCCCCTCCTCTTTCCCCTCCGCCAGTCATATGGAACCGGCACGGCATCCGCTTCATTTTCCTTCAGACGGGCGAGCTGGGCGCCTTCGACTTTGCGACCCTCCTCCTGAGCGTACGCGACACCCCACCCCACCCCCTGGTCTCCTTGTTGTGCGTGTGTGTGCGCGCGTGTGGGCCTTCCCTGCTCGGCAGCAGGTAACCCATTATTGTGTGTGCGGCTGACAAATCCCCCCCCCCACACGCGCGCGGTTGTGGCTCCTCCGCCCCCTCTCAGTTTGTGTCTGGTCTCGGCCTGCTGGTGCGTACCTCTGCCTGAGACCGATGTCCCGTCATCCTCCACCAGCCACCACCAGCCACCACCTACCACCACTGGTGCGATGGGGTGCGCACTTAACACACGAGGGACTATCGCGTGCGCGTGATCTCTCTCTCTCTCTCTCTCTCTCTCTTTTGGGCAGGCCGTGGCGACGCTGGTGGTGGACGTGTTCGCCTTGCACCTCCTCAAGTCGGGCCGAGCAGTGTACTCCAAGTACAAGTTCCTCCCCACCCCCACCTACCACGGTACACCACCTCCTCCCCACCAGCCACCACCACCAGCAGCACCACCACATGAGAACGAGAACCGGTCGGTAGTCCTCCGGATCTGATCTTCGTTGTTATTGACGATGATGATGAATGTGTGGCTTTGGTTGGGCGGCGGCGGCGGCGGGTATGGTATGGATGATGTGTGACCACGCACCTATCAGAGCTGGCGAGCGGGGACGTCGAACGCCAGCCCATCCGCAGCCCGACCGAAGCAGAACGGGCCAGAGGCGTTGTCAGCTCGTAAACCCACCAGGAGTGTCGGCACAAAACGAATAAAATTGGCCAGGTGGGCCAAAAGAAAAAAAGTCTGCAACGATCGACGACGTGTAGCGAGCAGCAATGGGCAACGCACAGGGCAATCTAACGGCAGCCGAAAGCAGCCACCTCCTCGCCTCTACCGACTGTACCCTTGCTGCCCCACTTCCCTTGCTTTATTTCCATTTTGTTTTATTGTTTGTTGATTTATTTGTGGGGGGGGGAACAGTCGATAGGGCAGAGCTGCGTCGTGTGTATGAAAGGTTCAGCAACAAGTACTCCACCGGGTTCATGACCCGCGACGAGGTGCGCCCACCCTCCCCGCTCTCCGCTCCCTCTGTTCTTACGCGCCTGGTCTGGTGGTCTGGCGGTGGGTGCCTAGTTCATCCGCGAGAACATGGAGCTGCAGGGCGGTAGCCCTGCCCTCTGGGAGGAGATCTTCGACGCCTTCAACACGGTGCGCCGCTCCCCTTCCATCGCTCGCCCATCACAACCGGTGATGAGGTAGTCGTCGTCGTCGTCGTCGTCGTCGTCGTAGTAGTAGTGGGGCTCACGTCGCCGTCGCGGGTGGGCGGTGGTGCAGGATGGTGACGACCGCATCGACTTTAAGGGTAAACGTTCCTACCTTTTCACCCTCCATTGGATGATGGCGGTGGTGCTGGTGACGATGGTGATGCCGGACGACGAGGAGGAGGCCTGGTGGGTGGGTGGATGGGGTGGCGGTGTGGCGGTGGTGGTGGCTGGTGGTGACGGTGGTGGTGGGCTGATCCGGTGTTGCGGTGCGCCCACACGTTGCAGAGTACATAATCGGGATATCGATGGTCACCAATGGCGAATCGCAGGACAAGCTCAAGTGGGCCTTCCAGCTCTATGACAAGGGCACGTCCACCCCACCCCCCAATCACGCTTCCCCCCAATCCAGGCATCGCGTCGCGTGCACCGGGTGCTGGCCACCACCTCACGAGGGCGCCCTGGTTTTTTCATTGCATTGCCCTATCGCCGCGTGTGCACTCGCACTTACCACGATGGCACATGTTTTTGTGTGGGTCATGCGTGTCGTCTGGGACGCGATCAGATGGCAACGGCGTGTTGGACCGAAATGAGGTGGTGGACATGATCTACTCCCTTCTCTCTGCCCGCTCTCTCCTGCAAGGCAACCCTTCCCCGCCCCGCCTCCCCTCCAACATCACCTTGCCCGCTCCCTCCGTCAGAATAGCGGGGGACTGCCATGAGTCGTAGCTGGCGGCTGGCAGCTGGCGGCTGGTGGTGGCTGACGGTGGGTGGTGGTGCAGGAGAGGGCAGCGCAAACAAGCCCGAGATCGAAGCAGGCGCCGATGAGCTATTCAGGCAACTCGACGCCAATGGAGACGGAGAGGTGCCACCCGAGTGCTCTCCTTCCGCTCCTGCCCCTTCCTCACGCGGCCCTCCTCCTCCCCCTCCGACCTCCACTGCGTGGCTGGCTGCATGCACTGGGTGTGTTGTGTGTGTGTCGTGTGTGTGTCGTGTGTGTGTGAGCAGATCTCGTGGGAGGAATTCAAGGCGGGGTGCGACGGGAGCCTGGAGGCGTCGGCATGTGCCGCCTTTGCGGGATCTCTCCTCGGGGCCATCGAGGTGGTGAGCAAGCACCAGGAGATGGCCACCTTTGACAACCAGGTCCGTTGGTGCTCCGCCGCCGCCGCCCCTCCTCCTATGGAGGAAGGAAGGAACTCGAGGGAGTCAAGGGAAAGAGGGGTGGCACCAGCGTGGTGGTGGCTCGTGGTCGTGGTCGTGGTCGTGGTCGTGGTCGTGCTGCTGGTGGCCGTGGTTGTGGTGGTGTTTGCGGTGCTGATGACGGCGGGGCTGGCGGTGCAGGTGGCGGGGCACAAGGGCAAGGACGCCATGCTCAAGGAAGCCACCAACATTCTGAAGCCCCTGGCGGCCCCCGAGTTCGAGTTCTACGAACAGGTGCGCAAGCTCCCCGACGATGTCCAGGTTCGCCTCGCCTCCCCTCATCACTCCTCGCCGTCCCCCCTCCCCCGTAGTAATGCCCATTCGCTGCTGCGGTGGTGGTGGGGTGGTGGTGCAACAGAAATTTTTCCCGGCCTACTTCGGCCGCCGCTCCATGACGGATCCCTCCGGGTACGTACACCCACCTACGCGTCACCTCGGCGGCGGGGATGCTTTTAGGAGAGGGGTTTGAGAGGTGGGGGGAAGGGTTGGCTGGACATGGCCAGCAGCAAGGATTGAACGCTGCTTCCGATTTGCGTGTCGTGCGTGTCGAGTGTCTGAATATACCGCTATCTACATGGGTGGCACACAGCAAGAGCACGAGCCACTACATCGTGCTGGAGGATCTGACCAAGGGCCTGGACGCGGCGTGCGTGTGCGATCTCAAAATCGGGAGGCGCGGACACGATGAGCAGGCCTCCACCAAGAAGGTGCTCCAGCAGAAGGCCCTCTGCGCCGTCACCACGTCCTCGTCCCTCGGCTTCCGCATGTGCGGCATGCGCGTGCGTACACCCACACTGCCCACCCTTCGCCCCATCCATAGATATCCATCTGCTCACCTCCGCCTCCACCCACGTCTACCCGATGTGGCGCTTCCTTACGCGGGTGTCGTGCATACACGTGCGGTGCTGTGCGGTGGTGGTGATGGGGGTGGGGGGTGCGCGCAGTACTGGCGCAAGGATGAAACGCTCGTGGTGCGTGACAAACCCTGGGGCGCCAAGCTTCGGGACTCTACCATGCGCCCCGTACGCCCCACCACCAGCCACCACCAGCCACCACCCGGGTGTCCTCCTTTTCAGCTGCGACGAACCCCCCCCCCAATCCAAACTCATGGCATCACCCACCATTCCCTCCCTCCTCTTCAGGCGCTGGTCGAGTTTCTGGACAACGGAGAGAACATCCGCTTCGAGGCCATCGACGCGTGGCTGCCCAAGCTGCGTGCCATCCTGAGCTGGTTCGAGAGCCAGACCAGCTTCCATTTCTACTCGTCCTCGGTGCTGCTCATCTACGACGCCAAGGGCTCCGGTACACCGCACATACGACTCACACGCACGTGATGGGGTAGTGAGGTCTGACAATCGGGGGGGGGCTCAGAGACGGATGTGCGTCTCGTGGACTTTGCGCACACGGAGGCCGCCTCCACCACGGATGAGAACTACCTCTTCGGTCTCAAAACGCTGGTCGAGATCATGGAGGACATCGTGCGCGAGGGGAGAACGACCACCCACGTCTACGAAAACCAAAGGTGCGCTGCTCCTGGTGCCAAGGAGGCCTCTCTCCTGCTCCTCCCCCCCCACCCCAAGCCTCCGCCAATGCGGCGGTGGGGTGGTGACCGGCGCCTCCCGTTTGGCCGCGGGGGGGCTCGACTCTTAAATGGGGGGGGGTGCTTACCCGCGTGCGTGCGTGCGTGCGTGCGTTTGGG